AGTCCTTGACTTGCAAAAACATGGACAACATTGTATTGTGATGTTGTCATACCAGAATGAGTGAAATATACTATCATGTTGACGGATCTGGTGGCTGCATTTCGTCTTGATCCACTTGCTAACGTAATAATCAGCACAAGACGCTACCTCAATTTCGCTCCCATACTGCTTTGGTGCAGTCAGCCGAGAATAGCAAATCGTTAACCTGCTAGCGATAGGCATCATGGTGGTCTGGTGTGATCATAACAGAATCAGCAAGGCGGCATTGCTGTCTGATGCAAATGCCTCTTCGAGCAAAATTCAGAGTTGAAAGCTGACTGTTTACTGGGATAATCATTACAAGCTAAAAACCCAAACACGTTAATGAAGTTGTAATAACGAACTGAGAAAAAGCGTAGGGTAATGAGTGTTCTGTTCGACAAGCAACACCCTAACAGGGCATTATGCCACTGCAACAGAAGTAAATGACATCTTTATCTATACATGCTTATTAAGGCAGCATCTGTCCCAGTTTCAAATATATATTTGAATTTGTATTATTGGCAGATGGTCTACATGCATCTAACTTATGCCTATATAAATATCACATATTAAGCAGTTAACTGTGCCAGATGATCATTCAAGCACAGACAGTAATGTAAACGACAGAGAGGGAAGATTGTTTACATATCAACAACGATAGGGTACTGTAGACAGGATCTTACGTACTTCAGTCCCTATTCTACATATGTCAATAAACTTTTCTTCCGCCAAACAATCACCATACAAATGCTTACGATAACAAGTTTACCTGTTTTTCTCTCATTAACTGTAAAGCAAAAAAAGTCAAGAAAGGTCCGGCGAGTTCAGCGGTTGAACATAGCATCGCTAACCTTGAACACTGTTCAAGTACCGAAAGTAGTACATCTCAAGCACGCTTAGAGTGACCTCGTTCAAGTACTTGTCATCCGAGTAAATATTCATACGGAGAGACAATAACTCGATTAAAATACCGATGTCTACGTACCTGAATCATCCTCCCCACACGAAGCGTGTCCTTGCTAATCACCGATTTGCATCCTTTACATGAAGAGCGATTACTCTTGGCATATTCTGCCCGAAAAGGAAGATCGTCAGACATCTACCTTTCAACCTCACACCTCCAAACCGAATAATCATAAAATAAGGCAGCGCCAGGCAATTTCGAAGATCGTATTATACATGCAAATCAGATGTCCATTAAATTGACCGTAGCACAAATGCACACAATGGATTTCCCGATTCACATAGCTCTGCGGCAGAGATTGGTGCAAACGAATGAAGGAGTGTTGCTTGATTGATATCAGTAAAAGACTCTAATCTGCTACATAAATACAAAGAGAAAAAGCGAAAAATCGAATCAAAGAGTGATTTACAGAGAAACAATCCATTAACCAAAAATATTTGCTTGTCATAGCTGGTAAATATCCTAATACACAGTATAACAGTTTGACGTCTGAAAAGGTCAGTTTATGCAATTTAATCGAATTATTATTCTGCGACAAGTTTGAGCTTAACACAACTGATTTTGGATAGAGCTGTTTCTCGGTATAAATATCAGGTGGATATAGTACACAACAGGATTAGTTTCAAGCTATGGTTAAGCTGTAAGCAACTTTCTAAAAATATGTACCATTCGAAAGATGATAGGGCAATATTAAATGAGGAACTCTTCAGATAACGGTCACTACTCGATGAAGTCGATTCGAAGTGAACAAAATACTTTTTAAGCAGTAGACGTCCTTTCGACGACGTAGCACAGATCTTTTGGCTAGGATTTCAAATTGAAGTTTATAAATATTATACTTAATGAATGTTTCTATTATAATATTTGCATGGCTTAATTTGAGTTGGAAGATGTGCGACGATCATCCGCATCGAATCCGATTAACGATCTGAATGGATCTATATGACGCATGTCATCACTCGGAAGAATCAAAAGTACAACGACTGCCTCGCACTTAAAATAGCGAGAGCTGTGATAGTAACTTTAAGGCGAGAACTTCTGTTTCTGTTGGCTGTCAGCGTAGAGAAATGCACATGAAACAAGGCAGGTAAGTTTGAAAT